GCTTTTGATATTTGTTTGTCAGGAAATTAAGTTTTAAGGACTTGACATTGAAGTTCAGAAATATTCGTGATATTGCTGGTACTATTATTTACGTGGTGGAAACGTTCCACGCTTGTCATAGAAATATGTTCCCATTTCACAGCAGGTCCAGGGTGCACCAGAACAGTAACACAGACAGATCTTTGTTGATATTTTAATACCATGTTTATTTCAGCTTCTTTTCTATCAGTTGACCAAAAGGCAGGATGATTCATTTGATTTTATTTTTGACTATCAAAACAAGAGCAAGTAAGCATCAGGAGTGTTGGAAAGCTTGACAATTCTTTGTAAAGGAGTTGATTGGCTGCACTAATTTTCAGAGTTAAAGTGTATTTGGGTACACTCACTTAAGTAGTTGTATTCCCCTCAAATCGTTTCTCATGGTCTTCTGCTTGATTCTACCATAACAGTTCCTGAAGACCGTAGAAATCCCCATGACTTCATCTAAGCCATCAGCCCTTAGTTCTGACTCAAAATATAGCTCTATAGCTCCAAATGTGTCCATTTCTCGTTTCACTGCTTGCAAACTCATTGCAAGCCCCTGCCTCTCTCCACTAAGCTAATGCAGGCCTCTTTTCTGGGCTTCCTCCCTCCAGTCTTACCGACCATAGACCATCCTCCACACAGAAACCAGAGGGGGGTTTTGTTTTTGTTTTAGTGTAAGTTGTATTTGTTTCAAACCCTCCATTGATTTCCTTGGTACTTAAAATAAAAATCCAAACTCTTTCATGGCATAACAGCCTGGCCCCTGCATATCTCTCTGCCCTCATGGCCTCTCTCCTCACTCCCCTTGGGCCATACCTGATCCTACTTCTGTTCCCTGAATACACCAGGTTCATTCCTGGAAATCCCAACAATCACCCCTCTCTCCTCTGCTCCCTTCCTCCACCGCATGTGACCCTCTGCACACCTGGCTGTCTGATCACCCTATTTCATTATTCTAACACCACTTACCACTCACTGGATTTATTTTGCTCGTTTGTCTTTCCCAGAAATGTGAACAAAGTCTTTGTTTTGGGGTTCACTGTTGTTCCTGGCCTCTGGAGCGGTCCTGGCACATGGTAGTTGAAGATATGAATAAACAAATGAACACAAGGAAATGATACCTGGAAGTGTTAGCTATTTTGTTTCCTTTTGACTTCTGGTGATAATTTTGATACCTGTTTAAAAAATAATCAAATCAAACTCTGAAGAAACGTGTTCAGAAAAACATTATTAAAGCATATAAAGCCCATGAACTGAAATGTTGAATCCCTGTTTAGTAGAGAATTATCTTGTGATCATGAAGTAAATCGTCGGACACTTCCAGTAACTGAGACAACATATCACAGTCTAAATTATTTTTGTGTTGTATGTTCAGTCCCTAAAGGCCTCATTTAACCCCAAACTAGTATCATTATTAGGACTCTCAACATATTCACATACCATTTTAGAGTGTGGTGAAGTGCCCACCTCTATCAGGGGGCTCTTACATACCTACCACAGTTGATGAATTATATATAAAACAGTAGAAACGAGGCCCCGTGAACCGAACGAGTAGCAGCAGCAAGGTCAAAATGGAAGGCGTGCAAGAACAACACAAAATCCTCAAATTCTTTGTGAGGGACTGAAGATTTCATACTGCTCTGGGATTTAATTCACGAAGCCCTCTGTCTAGAGTTCTGTTAGGTGGATTTTTAAGTAAGCGATTATTCTTGCTGTTTTAGGAAACAGTGGCAGATCTGTGAGATGAGTGGGTAGATCTATATTAACAAGAATGTGGGTCTGTTTACATGGAAGCAAACAATAGGAGATGATTATGAATGTTTTAACTTGCTCTATGCAGTCTGTATTTCTGAGCATAATATGTAAGAGACTGGAATGATTTGATTTCCAGATTGAAGACTATGATGTGATAGCCAGCATGATAGGAGCCAAGTGTAAAAAACTCCGAACTCTGGATCTGTGGAGGTGTAAGAATGTTACTGAGAACGGGATAGCAGAACTGGCTTCTGGGTGTCCACTTCTGGAGGAACTCGACCTTGGCTGGTGCCCTACACTGCAGAGCAGCACCGGGTGTTTCGCCAGACTGGCACGCCAGCTCCCAAACTTGCAAAAACTCTTTCTTACAGCTAACAGATCTGTGTGTGACACAGACATTGAAGAACTGGCATGTAATTGCACCCGATTACGGCAACTGGACATACTAGGTAAGGATACGGTATATATATTTGTTTTATTTTTTATTTTTGCTTTTTTTTTTTTAAGATTTTTTTTTTATTTCTGGGAGAGCGCAAGTGGGGGAGGGGCAAAGAGAGGGAGACAGAGGATCCAAACCAGGTTCTGTGCCGACAGGCTGACCGCAGTCAGCCCGATGCAGGGCTCAAACTCATGAACCGCAATATCATGACTTGAGCCGAAGTTGGATGCTCAACTGGCAGAGCCACCAAGGTGCCCCATGTATAAGCTCATTTTAACGCCTTGATGTGAAAGCCAATCTCAGACTTTTTGCAAGGGGGGAAAAAAAACTTAGGTACAGTAAAATTTTGTCCTGATAAGCCTGCTTGGTTTGAAGAAGTGCAAAATAGGCCAGTTGATACAGAGAGTAATTATATCTGTACTTAAGTAAAAGAGTGAGGACAATAACAGAATTTTATAGTTGAGCCTATCAGAAAGCTCTAAATAAACATTAATTCTTGGTCTAGTAAGAAGAGTGAGAATTTATATAAGCTGTGTTCTCCATTTTAAAGACAGAGAAGAAATTAATCCATTTGTATAATGAGTTATACATATATGTGTGTGTGTGTGTGTGTGTGTGTGCGTGTGTGTGTGTGTATATATATATATATATATATGTATATATATGAATGCTTCTTGATGTTAAACTCGTGATTAAGGAATATTGTCAAATCTTCATTTCCAATCATTCTATATTTTAGGAGTAGTTCTACCCCAGGGCAGATGTATTGAAAATCCTTTCCAGTTCTGGGATTCCTTGTGTCCTTCTTGCAGTTTATCAGCTGAGAGCCCTGTGAGGCTTCGTTACTTCTTACTTTAGCCGGAAGTGCTGGCAGCACCATAGTTAAAATTGCCCACACAGTTGGTACTTTGTGAATTCATATAGCACTTGTACTGTGTTCTCTGGTAATCTGTTAGTGTTGATAGGTTAGTCCATGGAGTGGACTCTATCCTTTCCTGTCTATTAAACATTCAACCACAGGGAAATGTGAAGATTTTCAGCATCTGAATTTGTGGTTTCCTTGAAAATCTCTGCACAGTCCAGGTTTATGATACATTTGTGGATGTTTCTCATATGGTTGCGTATTACTTATTCAAGCTACTTTTATCAGAAACTCTTGCCTAAACATCTAGGGAGAAATTCTTGCCCGTTACAGGTACACTTTTGGCTAGATACCTCATCTGTGTTACATTTTCTTTATTCTTCATAGCTCAGGGAATTGGATATCATTGTGTTTTCATAGCAGATGGACTAGAGCCCAGCAATTAATATATGGCAGAGCCAAGGGTTCAAATGCAAGGTTTTGGGCCCCAACGTAGTCAGTACTGATTTTTTATAACACCACGACTGCTTTCCTTGCTTATTTCTTTTCCTTTCTGCCTACCTACCACTTTGAATTAGTGTAGACCTTTTATAGGAGAAATATTTTGGAAAGTTTAAGAAAATGAGAGAGAATGAGGAAAGGTAGCTGAGGCCTTTAAAATTGGATCACTGATTACATTAGGCTTCACTTCAGAGGATAGGGGCTGGCGTTGGTTAATATCTGTTTTACAGTCACCGCACTCCCCCCCCCCCTGCCGCCCGAACCTCATACAGTAGAGATGAGGAGTAGCCAGTGTCTTTTTTTTTTTTTCTTTAATTTTTTTTTTCAACGTTTATTTATTTTTGGGACAGAGAGAGACAGAGCATGAACAGGGGAGGGGCAGAGACAGAGGGAGACACAGAATCGGGAACAGGCTCCAGGCTCCGAGCCATCAGCCCAGCGCCCGACGCGGGGCTCGAACTCAGGGACCGCGAGATCGTGACCTGGCTGAAGTCGGACGCTTAACCGACTGCGCCACCCAGGCGCCCCAAGTAGCCAGTGTCTTAAAGAGATGCTACAGAACTACAAAGAAGTTGGTAACGCTGATTCTCAGACAAAAGCACATTTGTGAGCACTGGGGTTGGTTTTCAGGTGGCCTAACGGCCTACAAACATATGAATTACTTGACAGAGACATGAAAGACAAATAGGTAAGAAGTATAATGGCTTCTTTTTGAAAACATTTGTAACTTTCCCAAGCAAGAGCAAGGAAATATGGAGAGTTCCAGTCCGAAATGGCAACATAGGAAGACTCTGAACTCAGCTCCATGGAACACAGCAGTTTATACCTGCTTATAGAGCAGTTCCTCCTGAAAGAACTGAGGGCTGACTAAACAGCTTCTGCAAAACCATAGAATGGCAAGAGAACAGCAAGAAAAACTGAGACACAGTAACAAAGGGAACCTCCACCTCTGACAAGGCCAACAGCAGTTGGGGGGGGGACGAGGGGGGGATAGTACTGAGGGACGAGGAACAGATCTCTGTCCTTGGGCACAGGATAAAAGCCTCAGTGGAGAAGAGCAACTAACACATAAAAGAGACAACAGTAGAACTCTACCAAATTGCAGAGGGACTGCGGGTTCACTCTCCAGGTCAGAGAGACTGGAGGACAACACGGTTTGTGTTCCCACCCCACCTTAAAAGCCTAGACCCCACCAGGATCTAGACACCAGCAGGTCTGGTCATCAGAGTGTACCTGTAACCTCAGCAAGACCAGAGTCCACAGCCCATGCCAGCCTTGGGGGCAGTGGCACTGGGGCATAGAAAATAAACTGGATTTTTTTGTGCGTGTGGTTTTGGTTTTGTCTTGTTTCGTTTTTGTTTTCCTTTTTTTCCCTTTTTATCCCTTTTTTTCTTTTATTTGCCTATTATCATCATCATCATCATCATCATCATCATCATCATCATCACCTTTCTCTAAAAGCCATGGTTTAAAAGAGCAACTAGCATATAAAGGAGTCAACTCTAGAACTCCACCAAACAGTGGGGAGAGCTGCTAGAATGCTCTCTGGGTGGGAGGAGCTTATGTACATGGTCTGCACTCTCCCTCCACCTTGAAAGCACAGACCAGTGCACATCTGGCACCCTAACTGGCCTCCTGCCTCAGTGAACCCTGAGCCCTTAGCCCACACCAGCCCCAGCTGTCCTACCTAGGCAGCCACAAAGTCGTACACACCAGGACACCCCTGGTTAGTGCTCACTCCAGCCCCAGTCTTCACATCAAGGTGACACAGGTGCAGACATCCCAGAACACTCCAGGCGCACACCACTTGTGCTTCCAGTGACTTGCTAGGGCACCCACAGTGCAGAGTGCTTCACCATTTTTGGCTGACATCTGCTTCAGCTACTGCCAAGGCACACCTGTGTAGAGCACCCCAGAACACTTACACCCATGCCAACCTCAGCTCCAGCCACCCAGCCAGGGTGTCTCCATTGGACAACCTGACTTGCTCCCAATTCAGTTTCAGCGGTCCTGCCAGGGCATGTTGTGTGTGGAGAGCCCAGGGACCACATCTTTGCTTTAGTTGTCCTGCCAAGACGACCCCTGCATGGAACACCCCAGGACCTCCCAACCTATACCCCACACCAACTACCATTATTCAGGGCACCCTCTGTGTGGAACTACCAACTGCCATTATTCAGGGCACCCTCTGTGTGGAAATTCCAGAAACACCCAAGTTTATATCCATTTCTGCTTCAGCTGTCTTTCCAAGGTGCCTCTGTGTGGAGAGCCCCTTGTCCCCCCAGCTTGGACCCACTTTAGTTTCAACTCTCCTGCTAGGGTACCTTCTGCCTAGAGAGCTCAGGGATCTCCTGGCCTGTACACTGCATCAGCTCCAGCCATTCTGCCAAGGTACCCCCTGCACAGAGCACCCTGGGACACTCTGACTTGCACCCATTTCAGATTCAGCTGTCCTGCTAGTGTGCTCTCCACACACAGAACCCTGGGACATCCTGACCTTAATCTGCTTCAGTTTTAGCTGTCCTGACAAGGGACTCACTATGTGGAAAGTACCAGGTTCCCCTAACCCATGCCAGCCACAGGTCCAGCTTGCCAGCCAGCAAAAGTCACCAAGCATATAGTCTACATAGGGGATGACCAAACACAAGATCATTCCTTCAAATTCAGGAGAATTAGCTGCACCTCCTAATCCACAGAAATAAACGCAGAAAGTCAAGCAAAATGAGGAGACAGAGGAATATGCTTCAAAAGGAAGAACAAGAGAAGGACCAAGTGAAATAAAAATAAACAGCATGCCTGAGAAGGAATCTAAAGTAGTGATCATTAAAATACCAGGCTGGAGAGAACAGTGGAAGAACCCAGTGACACCTTCAGTAAAGAGATAGAAAATATAAGCAAGAACCGATCAGAGTTGAAGAATACAATAACTGAAGTAAAAAACGCACTAGAGGGAATCAACAGATTAGCAGATGCAGAAGAGATCTGGAAGACAGGGTAATGGAAAGCACCCAAGATGAACATCAAAAAGAGAAAAGACTTTTTAAAAATGAAGATAGATTAAGAGAACCCTTGGACAACATCAAGCAAACAAACATTCACATTCGGGAGTCCCATAAGAAGAAGAGAAAGGGGTGAAAAACTTATTTAAAGAAACAGTAGCTGAAAACTTCCCTAATGTAGGGAAAGAATCAGACATCCACATCAGAGAAGAGAATCCCAAACAAGATGAACCCGAGGAGGTCCACACTACAACATGTAATAAGTAAAGTTTTAAAGGTTAAAGATAGAATCTTAAAAGCAAGAGAGAAACAAAAAGTTACCTACAAGGAAAAACCTGTAAGATTATCAGCTGATTCTTCAGCAGAAACTTTGCAGGCCAGAAGGGAATGACACGATACATTCAAAATGCTGCAAGGAAAACACTTACAACCAAGAATAATCTACTCATCAAGGGTGTCATTCAGACTTGAAGGAGAGTTTCCCAAACAAAAACTAAAGGAGTTTATCACCACTAAGCCAGACTTAGAAGAAATGTTAAAGAGACTTCTGTAAGTCCTAAAGGAAATGGCCATAATTAGACATAAAAAAATTATAAGTAAAAAGATGTAAAATAGGACCACATATTCATAAAACATGAAGGGGAAAAAGAAAAAGAAGGTTTTCTTTTTTCTTTTTTGTTTTTAGAATGCCTTTGAAGTTCATCAAATTAATATAGACTGCTGTATACTTAGGATGCTATATTTGAACCTCATGAGGTACACAAAAAATAAGGGGAAAGAAAGCCAAACATAACACTATAGAAACTCATCACTCATAAGGAAAGAGAGCAAGAGAAGGAAGGAAGGAACGGGAGAGAACTACAAAAACAACTAGAAAACAAATAATAAAATGGCAGTAAGTACATACCTATCAACAATTACTTAAATGTAAATGGCCAAAATGCTCCAATCAAAAGACATAGGGTGGCAGAATGGATTAAAAAAAAAAAAACAAAACAAAACAAAAAGCAAGACTCATCTTTATACTGACTATAGGAGACTCACCTCAGACCTAAAGATATATACACTGAAAGTGAATGGATGGAGAAATACTCACCATGCAAATGGAAATGGAAAAACAAAAAAACAAAAACAAAGTAGCAATACTTAGACAAAATAGATTTTAAAACAAAGACTATAACAAGAGACAAAGCATTGCATAATGATAAAGGGATCAATCCAATAAGAGGGTGTAACAGTTGTAAGTATCTGTGCACTGGAGCATATACCTACAAAGAGCAAATATTAATGGACATAAAGAGAGAAATTGATGATAATACAGTAATAGTAGTGGACTTTAACATTTTACTTAACATCAGTGGATAGATCATCCAGGTAGAAAATCAACAAGGAAATAATGTCTTTGAATGACATATTGGACTAGAGGGAAATAACATATAGAGAACATTCCATCTGAAAACAACAGAATACACATTCTTTTTTATTGTGCATGGAACATTCTCCTGAATAGATCATGTATTAGGCCACAAAACAAGCCTCAATAAATTTGAGAAGATTGAAGTCATACCATGTGTCTTTTCGGATTACAACGGCATGAAACTAGAAATAAATCACAAGAAAAAAATAGAAAAGACACAAAAACCTGGAGACTAAACAACATGATACTGAACAAGCAATGAAGGGGTCAATGAAGAAATCAAACAAATGAACAAAATTAATGGAGACAAATGGAAATGAAAACATAATGGTCCAAAATCTTTGGGACACAGCAAAACCAGTTCTAAGGGAAATATGCAGTGATATAGGTCTACATCAAGAAACAATAAAAAGCTCAAATAAACAGTCTACACCTAAAGGAACTAGAAAAAGAACAAACAAAATCCAAGGTGAATAGAAGAAAGGAAATAATAAAGATCAGAGCAGAAATAAATGATATAGAGACTAAAGCAAAAAGCAATAGAAAAAAAAATCAACGAAACTGAAAGCTGATTCTTTGAAAAGATAAATAAATCAATAAACCCATAGCTGGAGTCATCAAAAATAAAAGAGAAAGGACTCAAACCAGAAATAAGAGAGAAGTAACAAACTGACACAACAAAATACAAAGAATTGTAAGAGAATAATGTGAAAATTTACATGCCAACAAACTGGACAACCTAGGAGAAATGGATAAATTACTAGAAACATTCAATCTTCCAAAACTGACCTAGGAAAAAATAGAAAATCTGAATACGCTGATTACAAATAATGAATTGGTAATCAAAAAAGTACCAAAAATGAAAGTTCAGAACCAGATGATTTACAGATGAATACTACAAACATTTAAAGAAGAGAGCACTGGTTTCCCTGGATGGCTCAGTTGGTTAAGCATCCAACTTTAGCTCAGGTCATGATCTTGCGGTTTGTGAGTTCGAGCCCCACATCAGGCTCTGCGCTGACAGCTCAGAGCCTGGAGCCTGCTTCAGATTCTGTGTCTCCCTCTCTCTCTGCCCCTCCCCTGCTCATGTGCTCTCTCTCTCTCTCTTTCTCAAAAATAAGTGTTAAATAAATAAATAAATAAATAAATAGAGTTAGTACCTATTCACCTTTATCTATTCCAAAAATAGAGGAGGTAGGAAGGTTTCCAAATATATTCTATGAGGCCAGCATTACCCTGATACCAAAACCAGACAGACAGACCACCAAAAATGGAAACTATGGGCCAAAATATTACAAAACCTCATACAACAATACATTAAAAAGATCATTCACCATGACCAAGTGGAATTTATTCCAGGGGTGCAAGGATGGTTCAGTATTTGCAAACCAATCAGTGTGATACACCATATCAACAAAATGAAGGATAAAAATCATATCATCTCAGTAGATGCAGAAAAAGCATTTGATAAAATTCAGCATCCATTCGTGATAAAAAAAAAACTCAACAAAGTAGAATGAACTTACCTCAACATAATAGTAATAATAAAGTGGACAACATACCTCAATGTAATAAAGGCCATATATGAACAACCCACAGTTAACATCACACTCAGCGGTGAAAAACTGAGAGCTTTTCCTCTAAGATGTCCACTCTCACTGTGTTTATTCAAGATAGTACTGGAAGTCCTAGGCATAGCAGTCAGACAAGAAAAAGAAATAACAGTCATCCATATTGATAAAGAAGTCAAACTCTCACTATTTGCAGATGACTGGTTACGATACATGGAAAGTCCTAAAGATTCCACACAAAAAAACTGCTAGAAGACATGAATTCAGTAAAGCTCCAGGATATAAGATTAGTGTCCAGAAATCAGTAGCATTTCTATACACCAATAATGAAGTAGCAAAAAAAAAAAAAAAAAAAAAAAAAAAAACAACACCATTTACAGTTGCACGAAAAAGAATAAAACACCTATGAATAAACTTAACCAAAATGGGGAAAGAACTGTTCTTGAAAACTATAAAGCACTGATGAAAGAAATTGAAGATGATTCAAACAAATGGAAAGATATTCCATGCTCATGAATTGGAAGAATTAGGATTCTTAAAATGTCCCAAATATTTCCCCAATCAATCTTCAGATTCAGTGCAATCCCTATCAAAATACAAACAGCATTTTTCACAAAACTAGAACCAATAGTACTAAAATTTTCATGGAATCACAAAAAACCTCAAATAGCTAAAGCAGTCTTGAGAAAGAACAAAGTCTTGAGGTATCACAATCCCAGATTTCAAGATATACTACAAAGCTGTAGTAATCAAAATAATATGGTACTGGTATAAAAATAGACACATAGATCAATGGATCAGAATAGAGAGCCCAGAAATAAAGGAGGCAAGATTATATAATGGGGAAAAGACAATCTCTTCAGTAGATGGTGCTAGGAAAACTGGATAGCTATGTGTAGAAGAATAAAACTGGACTACCTTTTAACACCCTACCGCAAAATAAACTTAAATGGATTAAACACCTACATGTGAAACCTGAAATCACAAAAATTTTAGAAGAGACCACAGGCAGTAATTACTCTAACATCAGCTGTAGCAACATTTTTCTAGATATGTCTCCTAAGTCAAGGGAAACAAAAGCAAAAAGAAACTACTGGGACTACATCAAAAAAAAAAAAAATGCACCATGAACAAAGCAAAAACACAACCTACTGAAGGGGAGAAGATATTTGCAAATGATATATCTGATAAGGGGTTAACATCCTAAATATATAAAGAACTTAAAAACTCAATATGAAAAAACAATGCGATAAAAGAATGGGTAGAGGATCTGAATAGATATTTCTCCAGAGATGACACACAGATGGTGAACAGACACATGAAAAGATGTTCAACATCACTATTCATCAGGGAACTGCAAATCAAAACCACAGTGAGATATCACCCTTACACTTATTAGAATGGCTAAAATCAAAAACACAAGAAATAAATGTTGGTGAGGATGTGGAGATAAAGGAACCCTTGTGCACTGTAGATGGGCATGTAACCGGTACAGCCACTATGGAGAACAGAATGGAGGTACCTCAAAAAATTAAAAATAGAATTACCGTATGTTCTAGTAATTCCACTATTGGGTATTTACTCAAAACAAACAACACAAATTCAAAAAGGTATATGCACCCTTATGTTTGTTGGAGT